AAATTGGACAAGGCAGACAAGAACTCAGAAGTCCCAAAGTCAGGGCCTAGTTGAAAAAGAGCTCAGAAGAGTCCGTCCAAAGTTTGATCGTGGAGAGAATCTCTTGGTCACTCACTAAGACACCTTTGCCAACCCTCAAGACACAAAGCCATTTTCCTATGTTTTCCTTTAACAGTTTGTCCATGATCCTTCTTGAATTTTTTTGACACAATCATTTAAGTATTGGACAGGGCAAGTTCATTTAAAAAGGGGAAACCTATCTGTAGAAATGTGTGTAGCTTGGTGTCACAGGCATCAATACTCACAACTCTACTCCAGGTCACATACAACCGGGAAGAGGTAGGTGGTCATGCCAATCAAAATGCTTAAGAAACAATGAGGGAGGGGCGCCTGGGTGGCTCAGATGGTTAAGCGTCTGCCTTCGGCTCAGGTCATGATCCCAAGGTCCTGGGATCGAGTCCCACATCGGGCTCCCTGCTCCTTGGGAGCCTGCTTCTCCCTCTGTTTCTCTCTCTCTCTCCCTCTCTCTCTCTCCCTCTGTCTCTCATGAATAAATAAATAAAATCTTTAAAAAAAAAAAAAAAAAAGAAACAATGAGGGAGTTACAGCGCATGATAGTCTCCGATTCACTGATCTGCATTTTCTGCATTTGGGCCATTAGCCCAGAGCATCTGGCTGGTTCCCTGGTTACTAAGAAGTGAGTCTTCCTGTATTCTAAAGAGGCTTAAATAGTACACACTTCAGGATGTCACTGAAATCATAGTCTCCTGCAGGCTTAACCGTAGTTATCTGCTGTGTGACGAAAACTTCTGTAATGAGGCCACCTTGTGTTCACTGTCGCAATACTTACTTTAAATGATGGCCTTTTAATTACTAGGGTGAGAAGGTGGAGGTGGCTAGGTGTGTTGAAAGCAACTTCAAATATTGTCCGGCATGTGTCTGTCAAAACAGAAACACCATAAAAAGGGCAAGAAACTGAAGACACCTTTCATTTGACCAAATATGTGTATTGGTAGAATTATGTTTACTGGGTCACTGACAACTGCCATCCTTTTTTTTTTAAATTAATTAATTTATTATTTGAGAGAGAGAAAGTGCTAGGGAGGGACAGAGGGAAAGAATCTCCAGCAGACTCCCCACTGAGCATGGAGCTTGACACCGGGCTTGATCTCAAGACCCTGAGATCGTGACCTGAGCCGAAATCAAGAGTGAGATGCTTAACTTAACCACCTGAGCCACCCAGGCAACCCAGACAACTCCCATCCTATATGGAGCACCCAGTGTGTGTCTAGCATAGTAGTCATGCTGTATTTTGGCTACTATGGACAAATGAGTGAATGAATACAAGAATGCAAGAAAACTCTTTCTCGGCCACTGTAAAGAGCGAGCAAACATGCCAAAGTGCTCGCTCCTCAGAAATTTCAACCCAAGAGATAGGCCACATGTATATACATTTGAAAATTCATATATAAATACTTCTCATAGAGCAACAAGTTTCTATGGATCATTATGTATTTATCTCCACTCCCTCTCCAAACTCTTAAAGTGTATAACTCTTAAAGGACAAAGAGAAGAATGGACAGGGAACAGAAGAACCATGCCAAACAGTTTTCAGAGATGGAAAGGAGGGGTGGGGGTGACTTTAGCACAGCAGAGGAAGCTGAAACCCAAGTGCCAACTGAGCCAGTGGTTCCCAATCTTGGGTGCACATTAATGTCACCTGGGAGAGAAACAAATTGGAAAGCTAGGTTCCACTAGGCATCAATAGTTTAAAAATCTCTCTAGGTGTTTCAGCTCAGGTCGTGATCTCCAGGGTCCTGGAATCAAGCCCTGTGTCGGGCTCACTGCTCAGTATCTGCTTGAGGATTTCTCTCCCTCTCCCCCTCCCCCCTTAAATAAATAAATAAATCTTTTTAAAAAAATCTCTCTGGGTATATGGCAGTCGTCAAAAACTTAAACATGGAGTTACCATATGATTCAACAATTCTACTTCTGGGTATATACCCCAAAGAATTTAAAGTAGACACAAACAGTTATGTGCGTATCTGTCTTCCTAGAAGCATTATTCAAAATAGCCAAAAGGTGGAAGCAACCCAAGAGTCCATCAGTGGATGGATAAACAAAATGGGATATATCCATACAACGGAACATTATTCAGCCTTAACAAGGAAGGAAATTCTGACATGCTTCCCCACTGGGGAACTTGGAAAACTTTATGCTAAGTAAAATAAGCCAGACATAAAAACCAGATATCGTAGGATTCCACTTACATGAGGTACCTAGAGTAGTCAAATTCATAGAAAGTGGAATGGTGGTTTTCAACAGTGAGAGCTGTGGAGAGGGACACAGAAGAGAACTGTTTAATGTGTGAGGGAAAGTGGATTTCCTGAGAAGAAAATTTGGCATCACCAGGAAGGGCTGAGGAGTGGAGCAAATAGGGAATTTGGGTGAAAGTCTGTATACGGAACAGCTAAGATCCTTAATCTCTATCTCCAGTCCCACAGGTGAAAGATTTGTTGGAGAAACTGCACCTGTGAGCCCCAATTCCAACTGAGTGGCCAAGGGCTTTCAGAATAGCAGTGGGGATTAAACAAAAGTCTGCATGTTGAAAAGTGGGGTCACCAATACCCTTCCTCCTTCTTCTCCTGCTCCCAAGATGCCAGCATCAGGGAGATATCCCAGGCAGGAGATCTCAGGATTTTTCTATGGAGAAACTGAATAGCCCAAGGAGTCAGGGAAGATGGTGACCCACAGATATAGACATTTGGAAGTTCCCAAATGAAAAGGCTGGGTCACTGTTGGAGAGCCCACAAGGGAGTTCACTAGTCAACAAGCCTACCCAAGAACAGAGTTTCCAATGGCCTTTAACCTATTAGAGGGAAAAAAGGCAATGCTTTTTTGAAGAACACTTCAGAAACAACCATTATTTTAAAGAAACAAGAGAAAAAATGGTACCCATAAAGCTAGAACAGGATGTAATGACAAAAAAAGCAATTGGGGCACATGAGAAAACTGAAATCCAAAAGCCAACAAAAAAGTGGAAGGATGGGGCACCTGGGTGGCTCAGCTGGTTGGGTGTCTGCCTTTGGCTTGGCTCGTGGTCCCAGGGTCCTGAGATCGAGCCCCACATCGGGCTCCCTGCTCAGCAGGGAGTCTACTTCTCCCTCTCTCTCTCTCTCTCAAATAAATAAAATCTTTAAAAATAATAATAAAAAAACTACTAAGAGGAAAGTGCCCCTAACCTTTCAGAGAGGGAATTGCACAGTGTCAGAAGTAATAAACTCTTCAGATCAGGCAGACATGTCCCTTCAAATTGTAGGAAAGCCTCAGTTAGAAGTTAGTCTAGGGCACCTGGGTGGCTCAGTTGGTTAAGCGACTGCCTTCGGCTCAGGTCATGATCCTGGAGTCCCGGGATCGAGTCCCACATCGGGCTCCCTGCTCGGCGGGGAGTCTGCTTCTCCCTCTGACCCTCTTCCCTCTCGTGCTATCTCTCATTCTCTCTCTCTCAAATAAATAAATAAAATCTTTAAAAAAAAAAAAAGAAGTTAGTCTAGAAAAGGTGGGTAGGTATTTTTAAAAGATGTCTCTTCCTTGAGCTACAAACAAAGTGTCTCCCCCTGACCACTGTGTGAACATGCTGACTTCCAGCAGACACAAAGCTCCCTGAGGACAGGGGCCCTATTTCATGTTTTCATTCACAGCTGTCTTGCAAGCTCTCTCAAAAAACATGTTGTATGAACCTCTTTAACTGATTGACATCAGATTGCTAAACTTGTGTTCATAGCTCTCACACCTAATTATTTTATTTTATTTCTTTATTAAAGAGTTTTATTTACTTGAGAGAGCACAGCAGGGGAGAGGGTCAGAGGGAGAAGCAGACTCCTGGCTGAGCAGGGAGCCTGAGGTGGGGCTCGATCCCAGGACTCCAGGATCATGACCTGAGCCGAAGGCAGAGGCTTAACGGACTGAGCCACCTGGGCACCCCTCTCACACCTAATTTTAGATTTAGAATTTCCTTAGGGACTTTGACTTAATTGAAGCCCAATGGGGTCCTCCAGGGGTCTCAAATAAGTGTCATTGGAATGTAGGGGAAACTAGTAGTGTTTCAGTACAAGAATGAGTTGAGAGTTCCTTGTCTTCTCTATTAACTCTGGCTGGGAGTTGAGAGGTACAGTGCATTTCCTTGCTTCCATGTAATGCAAGTAAAAAAGGGAGGAGGAAGGGGGCACCCGGATTTGAACCAGGGACCTCTTGATCTGCAGTCAAATGCTCTACCCCTGAGCTATACCCCCATGCCCTAGTATCTTTCTCTTCTTTGTCCACTGAAGGTGACTCAGTACCATCAGGTTCCACCCACACTGGAGCTCTGGCGAGCTTTGTGTTCTAAAGCTCCACCTTCTTTTGTATCCATCATCTGCTTTGCCTTTTCTCTTGGCCACCAATAAACTGGGTGGGGACACTTGAAAAATGACATCCTGGAAACTAGCTGAAAAGGAAACTGACAGAGCACCAGCGGAGAAAATGTCCACAAGCACTGTGTCAGAATTACCATGGTAGAATCCAGAGGCTAAAAAGCAACCCCAGATATCCCCTTGTTCACTGCCCTGACTCTTGATGGACTGAGGGTGGAAAGGAGAAGGAAGATGTCAGTTAGTTTGGCTGGGATGACTCTCAGGAAAATCAGGACATCCTTCTCAGGGCAACCAAGGACAATCTCTTTGGACAAACCGCCTGCTCCTTTCTTGATGGGCAAACAGCAGCCAGCTTCTAGCCTGGGGCACTGCTGCTCCCTGAGCTTTGTGGAGGCTGAGGTGCGCAGCATTGTTCCTTCTTCTGACATGGGCCCAGGAGAACGGAGGCCTCCTTTCAAGCCTGGCACTCGTGGGCATGGAGTGTAAGGGAGCAGGTTTGAGGACGCCCTCTCTCCTCCCACCTCCTCTCCAAGGGCTGAGGGTGGAGAAACTAGCCCCCACCCCAACCACAGGAAAGAAACAGCACACTTGGAGGCACAAATAACATCATTGTTTATATATAAATAGCATTAAGAATTCATCTAAACATCCGTCTTCTATTCAGGTCAAGGGGTGGGAAGGAAAGAGATGCTGTTAGAAGAGAGGGAATCGGGTGACCTCTCCAAAGACAGACGGGCGCTGGCGGAGGGCTGGGGTGTTCCGGCGATAGCCAAACCGACCATTGAACCCCTTGATCGTTTTCAGTTCAGCATTGTAGTGATCATGCCCAGTCACCTGCTGGAGGGAATGCCCTTGGGGGCAGAGAAAGAGGCCTGAGCCCCCATTCAGCCCCCTCTGCTTTGCCCCTGGCTCCCACGGGGCTAGTATAGAATGTGCTCCCCATGTCCCCGCTGAACCCTCCATCTTCAAACGTCTCAAGTCTCTTGATTAAAAGCCAAGGGTTGATGAAGTCCAGGAGACAGACAGCTTTCTAGAAACCAGCCCGCATACCAGGAGGAGCACACAGGAGGAACGTGAATGCTATGTGCTAAGACAGGAGAGGACAGAAACTTCTGGGCTTGGCTGAACTTGCCTTGCTCCCAGGAAGACTGAAAATATTTCACCCTTGCTTCTGACCCATGTGGAGAAAATGGATGAGCTCAATTTGGCCAAATGGTGCAAAGGGTCATGTGACTAGAGTGTGACCAAAGGGCGTTGGGGTTGGGGTGGGCGGAGGGTTCACACTGTCGGAAAAACCTCTCTCAACCCTTCCTTTCCTGTTGCTCAACTGGGCCTGGAAAAGGAGCAGGACACAGCCTGCTGAGGGAACAGGGAGGGGAACATAGGCTTTGGAGTAGGAAAGAGTGGAATTCCAATCCCAGCTACCCTCCTCAGCCAGTCACTTTACCTCCCTACACTTGTTTGCTCAGCTGGAGCGCAGGGAGAGCGTGAGCGTAAAACCCACCTGACCTACAGCAGGTGCTTAGTCCCTAAATAGAAGGAGCATGGTGACACCATCGGCTCACGTCTGAGAAGAAAAGCTGGGGACACAGTCCCAAGGCCTCTCCCCCACCCCGCCCCAAACCAGGGCTCTCTGTGGCCTGATTTCTCTCTCTGAACTGGGGACCTCACACCACTCTTCCAGGGGGGGTTCACGTCGAGGCTGAAAAGCCAGGTGGCACTTGCCTGCCCCTGCCCAGTTTCTCCTGTTCAGGTATCTCTGTCCTTCCCCAAAAATGTGGAAATAATCCACTATCCAGCCGTCTCTTCCTGTGCCACCGTGATCCTGAGAGTGAGGGAGAAAACACAAGACTGTCAGCCACCATGCTGAGAGGTGCACACGCAAAACTCCCTTTGGGCTTGTTGCAAGGGGAGAGAGCCGAGGTCCCAGCCAGGGGTCGCCATTCATATTTAAGCCAGACAGCTTAAATATGAATACACAGAGTGACCTATTGCCTCTCAGGGAGAGGCAGCCTAGGTGGGCAGTTAAAGGCTCAATGTCTGCTGCCAGACAGACTGGTTACTATCCCAGCGCTGCCACTCACAGCCGGTGTGACCCTAGGCCAGTGACACAGCTTTTCTGGACGTCAATTTCCTCCTCAGTAAAAGGAGGGTTGCTGTCAGATTTAAGTGAGAAAATCCTTTTTTTTAAGATTTTATTTATTTGACAGAGAAAGACACAGCAAGAGAGGGAACACAAGCAGGGGGAGTGGGAGAGGGAGAAGCAGGCTTCCCGCGGAGCAGGGAGCCCGATGCGGGGCTCGATCCC